TTTATTGCAGTCATAAAATAGCATCGAATGAATGACTAACTTATGTAGACCTGAAGTATCAACCTGTATCAAAGATCAGTGCTTCGAACAATCTTGGTTGCGTTCCCTTTAGAATTCTAACGAATATCCTGACTATTTAAACCGGATATGACTCTAGCTACATACAGCAATCTATGAACAAGTGTTCTTTTGCTATCGCTATTGTTACGCAGCGAATACTCTCAGATCTATCACATAGTTGTTTTACGTTTTTCTATGGCATTATTTTGTCATGCAGCATATAATACATCTATTAGCTAAAATGATATATGTATGTACTATATAACAAACCATTGGCTCCTTTAGAGAGAGAGAGAGAGAGAGAGAGAGAGAGAGAGTTGTAGCTCTACGCAATAATAACATCTATAAACTTCTAATAATCGAAGGTTGAAAAGGTGCCTGTTTTGTTAACGTTTTGTTTTTGAGTGCACCCGTCGAGACCGTTGCCGCTCTAACGAGGTTGTAACGTAGCGAAAAAGCCGGCTAAGCTGTTATGTTATTATTTACGTTTACGAATAGATTTGACAGCTTAGCGGGACGGATCGGCGGGGTGAAAGACCAGCCCGTTGACTGAATCGCGGAGGTCGAACTTAGGGTAAATGATAAAACCCAATGATGTGGGAATTCATTTAAATGGGTTGACGTCATGTTATAATGAGACGATGCCTATACCCATTGTCTGTCAGTATGTCGTCGCTGTCAGAGGCCAGAGACCGATTAACTGATTTCGTCTTGCCTTGCATGCTTACGTGTATACAGATAAAGAAAGCTTACTTATAGCTCAACGTATTATCAAATCGGCCATTTTGTTTGGTCAGCAGAAGGTGATGTACCAGACAAACTATAGCCTGCTGACATCATATCAAAGGGCAAAAGATATAGTACTTTGCAATGCAATATAGTACTGATAATAGGCCATGAAAACCGTCATCATCATTACCAAGGTGATTATTACTCTTATGGTGATTAGTAATAGTGCGCAGACGTGTGTATACGCCAGTATATCGAGATGAACTTACGTAATATTGCCTGCCATGCACATTGTTATTTTTAGCCGTTTTGAATGAACCTTTTTGAGATATAAGGATTCAATTTTGAGTGATACCTCAGAGAGGATTACTTAAGCGATTGTATTCGAAAGCCCGAATCAATAACCTTTAGTAGAAGCACAACGGCCTCTTCTTACGCGGCCTATTTTGTATCATTATGCCGCACATAGTAATCAAACCGGCAGACACAAAAGTAAATAACTTTTAGTGGCAAATGTATTCTGCTGCTAAGCAGACGTTCTTTTGTAGGATTAATGTTGATTTTATTATACCCCTATGGGGCGGCAAGGAATTCGCCGCTCTCCGCAAAGAGAGGCTAAACGCCGATAGCCTCTACCGAGTATAGAGATAGTGTGATTTTATGTTTTGTAATAGAGTAATCGGTCACATCTTTTTGTCATTCACCACTTACCATTTTAAACCATATTTCTCGTTATATGCATGTATGTACCTTTAATGAAGCGATATATGAGTGTTCACTGCAAAAAGATAGTAAACTTGAGAGATGTTTATCTCATTGATTTTTATTTTAATTTTGGCAGATACTACCAGAACATGGTTAGAGTTTGTCTCGAAAAGCAAATGGATTAAACCGGATTCTGTTGTGAGAGATTAATTTGATTTGATATATGAATGAATAGACCTGTCTGCGAGTCCCACTTCGCTTCGAAGGCAATGCAAAGCAAGAGAAGTCTTTGCTTAGGTTTATAGCTGCATATAGTTTTTTTTTATCTGTTTTATTTGGAAAAAAGCAATAAGGAAACGTAATCGTATTGATTCGTGTTTGAAGGTAAATTAACAAAGTTATTTAAATATCTATGGTTTTATTAGACGCAAGTATAAAAGTCGTGTCACTCAAACTTTACTCACAGTTTCCGAAACAACAAGTAGGTTTTCAATACATACACGGATCAAGATGCCCAATCAGGCCAAAATATTATGACAGCCCACAAGTATTCATCAGAACTAACTATTAATAATTTTGTATATAGAGGAATGGAACACAAGACAGATATCGGATATTATCGGGAAGCTGACAGTAACGAATTACAAGTTCGTCGGATCCAGCATGAGCGCGCATTGTCCTGGCCTGTTTTTTATCTCATTCTCTGTTTTGACAAATTGGCACGTTTGCTTCAACGTGTCAAACGCTGAATGCACTTGTCACCAGAAGTTATGACGGAACGAACGACACAGATCATCATTCAAAAGCATCGAGTCGCTTGCAATGGCTAATTTCAACTGGAAATGAATAAGAAATTCTTCCTATTTTCTGATTTCATCCCGTGCATAGAGGATGGGACGTAATGGTAACATGGATTTTATCCAAGCCAAAAAACACTTGACTTGAAGAATCTTCTGCAATGCGTACATAAGGGTAAAGGGAGAGAAGAAAGCGCTACCTTTTCCTTCTTGACCTTTAAAGTCCACTTGAGTCGAGGAAATCCGAGGCTCTGTCGGAATACGGACCCGACAGCCGTGGTATTATCCGTAAGTGGGTTGGCATCTGTGACTTTACATGTGTCGTTTAGCAGCTGCTGAATTAATACATTCGGACGTTTCTATACATGTAATGGTATAAAGTGTTTAGGCTGTTGTACGGCTCAACTAGCGTCCGTACCGACGTTCTATAACAGCTCCACTCATAAAGACTATAGCCACCTGATGCTACAACAGGCTAGTATGTATATCGTACAATAACAATACTAGTATAGCTAAAGAAAAGCTGAAAAGGTTCAAAGCCGAACAGTTATTGCAGGATGTAGAGCGGTTAGAATAAAAATGATTCAATTCTTACAAATAGTTTCTTAAAATCGTCATAGCATCGCCTTGTTTTAGCCCGAGTGGAAAAAAGTACCACAAACAAAATCAATCAAAATAGACGTTATATCATCGTTAAACGAGACAACGATCAAACACGCAATGTGTTACTCTTGGCGAAAACTAGTCCTATGTAGTGGAAAGCAGAAAAGGTTTGGTGACCTTTCGAAACATGTGTCGATCCCAACTACCGTATATTGAGAACTGAACAGAATAGGAAAGGCGGAGGGCATACAAACAACGGCAAAGGGCCAAACGATATCGGTCTGCCTTTACGATAGGAGCTGGCGCAAAAAGTTTTCAGTCTTAAACTTTGAAACCGGGTAAATTTTCAGAATACCAAGGTGGAAAAAGAGAATTAGATAACAGGAAACTGAGAACTGCAGTCAACTTTTCGTTATTTTAGATGATGGAACGAAAAGACGAACACCGTCAAGTGGGAATAGTATTTGCTCTGGCAGATGAGTCTATTAACGTATATGCATTGACGAAGTCAGTAGGTAGTGCTAGGGAACCCTGTGGAGACTGAGAGGCGACTAGAAGGCAAGTCGTATTGTTCTTGGCGAACCTTTCGCAAGAGATCCTTGGCCACTTTGCTCAATTATTGGACGAGGGAGGCAAACCAAAGACAGCTGTGGGTTATATAATGTCAATACGATAGCTCGCCAAAAAGCTAAATGTGTGGGGGGAGCATTCTTTTTTCTACTGCCGTCAACTTGATTGCTTGAACCCATGTAGTGTACAGAGGTGGCGCAAGATTCGATTGAAAATTCAAGGTACTAGAACTTATCGAATGTCCACAGGAACAAGTACCTGTAGTATACTTTTTGGAAAAACATACTATACTCACAGGTATATAAAATGGTACTGATGTGAAAAAAAAAACAATATTACACTCTTTAGAAACAACTCCGACGCGTACTACCCTGAGACGCGGAGCTCGCGGCCTCTGTCTCTTAAGCAACTCGAAATCTAACATCCGAAACAGCTGAGAGAAGTTCGGCTGTTTCTAAGCATTTGGGCTTTCTAGGCTTATTTTTGTACTATTTCGTGTTTTTTGTTTGAGTCAACCGCATTCACTTGTCTCTCGCCTGCTTGTTTAGTCCCTATCTATTAATCTTACAACGGAGCTTCTTAGCATTCTAACTCTGTAGTTTCAAACAGGAATATATTAAGTATGATATGAAAAGTTTCGTCGACGATGCATTTTGTCTCAAAAACGAACATAAACAATGACGTACCGTACGTTCGTTACGTGCAGTACCGCTTGGTGCAGTGAGAAGCTGCGTAGCAGAAAACGCTTTCTACTATTTCTGTTTTTGCAACGATTTTAACTATGACGGGGTAGCCGGTAACGAAGTTAAGCGATCGCCAAATCGCTCGTCAGTCGCTCAGTAATGATGACATTCTGCGTAAGCAAGGCGTCATTTAATTATTATGCCTTTGTAGAATGAATCCGGTCAACTACAGAGTTACTGACTTCCGGCTGCTTTTAATTAGATCTGGCCTCGAAAGTTAAGGCTCAGTTGTCGTTTTTGCTCCCTGGAGGCCGTTTTTATTCTCTGAGGGCGACAACGCTGCAATAGTCCATTGAAGATCGATGAACACATTAAGCAAGGAGGAGTTAAACGAAGGGACGGCGCTTCGAGCGTTGAACACCAGCAATAAGGTGAACAGATATCGGGACCCGAAGGACAAGATCGCGTTGTCGCAACCGAAAAAGCTTTTCGCGAAAGTAGTGCTTGGAATATAAGGGCTTTATCAACCAAAACTGAGACATTTCACACGCACCGTATGAAAATATTATAAGCTAAGTAGTAAAAATAGGGAGACTGTAAAAAAAAATAGGTGAAGCAGATGGTCGCCATAGATAGAGCATGGTTCAATCTCTGCTGCAGGCAGCGAAGGACCAGGTGAAAAAAACGACGTGGTCCCAGAGAAATCGAGTGAGTTTGGAGATAGGATAATGGTAGTAGGTGCAATGAACATTAGGGGCATCTGCTACTATGAGACATTCGCCGAAAATGAAATAATTAACGCAGCTCGCTATTTCGAGTTTCTCAAGAGACCCGTAGCACGTTGGCGCGAGAATCGAAGCCACGCGATCCTCATCGCCATGCCTCAATTATTTCCGGGACTGAGCAAAAAGGTATCCAATATGCGTTTTAAGCTGCTTATTTTTTCGTTCCGTGCGATAACGGATCTTCTTTCTACTAATGCGCAAGCATATTCCACTATTGGTTTAGGAAGCCACACATAGAAGTATTACATAGGAAGACGTGGATGATAGGTGCATAACTGTCTGGAAGCTGTCAGAGCGTTGATAAGTATATTAAAATGAAAAAAAAAAAGTGCCTCTAACAAATATAAAAAAATCGTCATGATCTAACCTAACTCATTCAAAGTGTATTCTATTTTTGATTGTTATACCCTACTAGCTTGTAGCCGATATTGCTGCAGTCCGCCTAAGTAGTAGTAGTAGTAGTAGTATGATTATAAGCGTGATAAATGGTAAAACATTTACGAATTTTGAAAAATCAGCTGTACGTTTAGGTGTTGACTTAATTCCTGGTTGTACAGGGTACAGTGGCGTAAGTTATACTCACAGGGATCGATGAACTCTTATTGTAAAAGCGTGTTTGGATTCGATCGTATATATGCGGAAAGTAAAGAGACAAAAACGCTACTGTCGGAACAAGTATATATATATCCGGACTGGCTTAAGTGTGGTCGTCGCTCCGCACTTATATAGTTGTAAACGCGATACTTACTTCATACATTAAAATATTATATCAGTTACACGCATACATATTATACATGGGGTGGATCAAAGGCCTCTTGACAGTTTGAGGGGTGTTTATGTTATATCTGTACTATATATATGTGTTACAATTGCGCTTAGTAGGAGCAATGGACCTCATAGTGGACGCTTCGTCCAGTGTCATGCCAAAAAGCGGAATTAAATTAAGAATATTATATTATCCGTAAGCTGTGTACTAATAATTTTTGTTTATTTATAACTCAAATCAACGATTAAATCTGTAAATAACCGCGCACAAATCTAAAACTATCCCGTATAATTGTATAATTTTCTAAGGGTGAATTATTTTTTTTAGTTAGAAATGTGGCTTTAAAGCAGGCCGGTATTTCAGTTGCATATAATAACTATTGCTATTTTTGTGATGTGTCGCTGTGGTCGCAGGGTAACGAGGCTTCGCTCCCGATGGAGATGTGTTCCACATTTGACCACGATGAAATCAAACGACTAGGTAAACGGTTCCGTAAGCTCGATCTGGACAATTCGGGTTCACTGTCGATCGATGAATTTATGTCCCTACCTGAGCTTCAGCAGAATCCACTCGTTCAAAGAGTTATCGACATATTTGATACAGACCGTAACGGGGAAATCTGCTTCAAGGGTATGTACTATTAGATACGCTGTTATTGATAAGCTAAATACCGTTGTTTTATCAGCTGACTGTATCCAAGTTGGTAAACAAGTTATTTATTCATGCTAAAGCTGTTATATGGCCTTAGCGTAGGAGCTCGGCAACACATATCATACCGGTCAAATATTTGTCACATGTCCACTGCTGTTTGTATCACTGTATATACTAGACAGATTGTAATAGTTCAGCTTTACAAGGTGCGCAATGTATTCAATATGTGATAGAATGAGACTTGCTTTTATGTAACCTTTTTCCCTGCTGGTCCGTCCTGTTTTTACGATTTTTTCTCGATGAAAAAATATCTTTTCGTCTGGCTTGATAGCCAGATTGCCTATGCATATCTGTCCTTCGAAATAGCCCCACCAATAACTAAACAACATAAATTTCACTCATTTGCTTTTTTTTTTTCAGAAATATTCCCGTAAAACTTCGGATATACTTAGACATTCTACCTACATAAAAATGGATACAATATTGCCCATTAAGCCCACCTCAGTCCTATGTGCCAGTAGCCGGATACAATAAGATAGTATGGTGATGAAAAGAAAGACATTCTACTCGAATCTTAACAAAACAGATAAACCATATTTGATTCATCATCATTATTTTTTCCATTTCTCAATTGATTTCTCTTTGCTTGGATCTCAACAGAAAGTTCCAAGTATTGTCGTAACGACCTTGCTTATCCAGTCAATTCTTCATAGAAAATTAATCGTGAAGCCTACTATCGCAAACTGTATTTTACAGACAGAGGTCTGGAGATTAGGAGAGATGTACAAGACACCCACCCCCCACCCCCAGTTATGTCCTTGTAAGGCAGCGGCCTTGCGTATTTAGCATCATTCTTTACAAAGGCCTTGTCGTGCATCAGGCTCGTTTGACCCAATACCATTTAGCTATACGCAGGTTCTTGTCGACCGTCTTATTTCTATCAAAGATTCCATTGTATCAAACTTCTCCAGAACGCAAATCATCGTCTGTCTCGAATGGAAATCTCGCTACATTTTCAGTATCACTCGTAACTAATACAGCCCGTTCTCATCGCCACCGAACTATCGAAGAGTAAATAAATACCAAAGATCGCTATTTGTCTCTGAGCCAAGTTCGGTGTTGTGACAATTACCAAGATTAATTTAATCAACTAGAAAAACAATTAAGTCAATTAAGCGACGCATATATATAATAAGAGCGATTTGAATTAGACATGAGCATGATAACTCGCATCATTATGGATTACGATGCGTTCCCGATCAGCTCTGCTGTCTTCAATGTAAAAACCGCCACGTTCATTTTCGACGGCAGCATTTCGATTAACGGCAGTGGTCAAGTAATATCTTGTTGTAGTAAAAAAAAAATCCTAAAATAGCTATTACGTTGTTCGAAACAAAATACTGTATAACCGGTTTAATCACAAATATATACGTTTCAAAATGAGCTTTCATTACGCAAACACGAAAAAAAAAGTTGGCTAATTTTCGGAACAACAACAAAACCCCTTTTGTCAATACTCATGCTATTTTAAGTTTACACGAAGCAATACTTCGAAAGAACAATTACACGCTGCTGTAGTGCGTACAGCTGGTATTTGTATATGTTACGATAATTTTTTGATTAAGAATAGGTTTACCTGTGTGCGCTGGCTTATCGTTTGCGCGAGATGTTTAAGGGTATAAAGCACTACTTCAATTACCTGGCGCTTCAGCTGTCCTAGGTTAATACTGTTGCTTTGAGGGTGCGGCCTCGTTGCTCATTGCCCTAAAAAAATGTTGTGTTTTTTTCGCTCGTTCCAGTCCACTTTTTTCTACAAATATATAACCAGCTTAACTCAAACTCTAGGTTTCCTAGCGAGATCCCATGCTCTATTGATATATGTAATTACACACATTATACATGCGATCTCACGGGTGCTCTTCATAGATATTTTTCGTTCTCACGTATTAGGACCTTTATGTGTGCAGAACATCGAGCTGACCGTGTTTTTGAAGTCATGCTGAATAAAGCGCTGCCTGCCTCGAGTGTCCCCGATAAATCGAATGTTGTAGAAGCGACAGTTGAAGGCGAAGATAGCGCTCGGGTGCACATTGAGTACAGAGCTCCAGGGATCTTCATGTATGTCCTTTCATTTCTACTGGCGTGTATATTCCTACGCTCTATTTTTCGTTCCTGTCTCATTATTTTCCGTCGATCGCGCTTCTCTTTTTTGTTTCACTCCCTTCCACCCAGGAATCAATTTTTTTACCTCTATCACTTTATTATCGCGCCCGCCTTATATAAATACGTAAGTCATCTTTTGTTATTCCGCTTTATTACCCTTTAACATCGAGTGTGTCGCTTACCAACGACCTTGACCCTTTATCGCTTCTATGGTTGCGTTTTTCTTATTAGAAGTAGATTGTTTGTGGGGAAGCGCTCGAAATGTGGGTGCACGGGGTCGATAACTGAAGCGTCGCTATTGTCGATACCGTTGCCGGGTTCGGGTGTCCACAGACAGACGCAAACTTATATCCTATTCTCCACAGGCTTACGCAATATCGTCCAAGCGAGTTTGGGAGACGAAGGGGCCCTGGCCATATCGCCGTTAGACGCGCTTGACTATTTCTAAAAAGCTTTACCTTCTTTCGAACAAGAAAACCTCTTCCAGCGGCCGCACCGACTTCACCTAGACTAGCGTTATCTGTTGCGTCTTCGTTTTTAGAGGCTCTGCGTCTCTGAGATCGACGGCACGCACGTTCGACCGAGAGAGCGGTCGACCTGTTAGTTGCTTAGGGTGCGTGAACGTTGTAGCCGTGTCGTTTTGACAGCGCTGCAATGTTAACAGTAGGTACTTCTTGTGGGTCTTTTGTATTTTGCTGTTAAAAAAAGCATATGGCGATAAAAACGAAATCCTTGTGCTTGTTGGAGCCCGCTTGTTGATGCTAGCATAGACAGTTCAGAAATACGAAGTAACACGAGGCACGATGATTATGTACTGAGACGCTGTCAGCGAAATAGTACTCGCGTGCCAACACTTATTCCAGCGCATGGTAGTTGTCTTTTTATGAATCGTCAAGCACCTCAAAAGCAGATCCTAAATATGGTAGATTTTATTTTGAAATCTGTACTTCTTTACATAGTATGGTATAGCAACCGAATTAGCTTTATTCATGAATACTTAGCCAAAGGACCTGACCGACCTCACACAAATTCCTGCTGTCTTGGGATAAAAAATCAAAATAACATTCATACGCATTAGATGAAGCGCTCGTTAATGAACTACTTGGCTGAGGAAATCTGCTTGCTAACCTCTATTACGAATTCGAAGAAATGCACAGTCATTGCAAAAATTCAATATAGCTATCCACCGACGCAAGTATTTACATAATAAAAGCTAGCATACAACTAAAGGAATCGTGCATTTCTGTGCTCCTCATGCAAGAATGGCCTGTTCATAGACTTTCCCGTGTACTATATGTGCACGTGTGTCTTGCTGTTCGTATATGCGCAGTTCTATCGACACACTACTAACAGGCAAGACGAATTTAAATTCGAAGATCATGTACTCTAAATGTGTACGCCACGACTGAAAGAAGTTACTTATCGTTAGCGTTGTTTCCTGTCGTTTGAAAGGATACATCGGCAGTAGCATTGCCCTCTACGATTAATTGCTTGTTCAATGAAGGGACGTATATATGTAATATGCGTTCTTCAAAAATACAATACTGCTCTAGAAGTGGGGGCAGGAGGACGACGGCGAAAGGCAAAGGAGGTCTCTGTGACTTCCCCTAATTTGAACAAATTTTCAAGCCAGGAAGAAGCGACATTAATGCAAACGAACGAGGCAGAAATGAAGACCGGAAAGAGAAATGCAAAGCCAGTGTCTCATTCGCTGTAGTTTAAGCCACTGGCGGTATCGCTGTCATGAAGGAAACGTCCGGAAACTGTACGGGAGCCAGCTCGATACTAGACGTCTAGCGCAGCCAGCAGCTGTGGGTCTATCCACAATAGCGAGCAAAGGGCTGAAAGTGGTTTGAGGCCGGATATCGTTGTCTCTAACAATGAGCAAGGCAGAGCTCTCCATTACGGACGAGGTTTTATGGCGCGGTGCATCGTGATACGCCGAAGGTGGAGCGGAAAGAGTGAAGATATAAGAAGCAGGGGCGGGTATTTTTGTGGAACGCTCAATAATGAAGACGTCTCAGTAACTATAACAGATTGGTTACCGTATCTAGTGTTCTTGCCTTAACGTTGGGCAATTCTCGGCTCTACGTACAACAGCCGAGTGTTGTTCGTTTAATTTTTGCTTGTATCCTGATTGATAACAAATATTGATCCCGTTACGACTAAAACGTACATAAACATTTTGGAATATATCCGCAACGTGAACAGAACCGGATGTTTGTGCATTTTGCAGGGTTGTGCGTAGAGGACAGCGTAACATAGGTTAATTATACCATACAACAGGTGGTTATTTATCTGCCTGCGCATGATAATCTATTCGCAGAGTAACTACCATTAATATCGGGGCTGTAATGGTACCACTACATTCATTTACCAAATAGGCAGAGAAGGTTAGGGCAAATAGATTCGTAGACTGGGCGTTGCCTCCGAACGTCCTTGTTCTCTAGCACAGTGAGAACCGGATTTTCCTATCGGACAGTTCTTCAGGGCTCTTTGACGGCTTATTGCTTCCTCTGTTTCTATCGGCGAGAGCCGGCAGAATCGGCCTCTATGAACTAGAATGAATTGTGTAGCTGATCCCTCTTCCCGATATTTTAGAATTTAAGGGTGGATCTGTGAGTACGAAAGCCTAGGTGTCTTTGTGCGTGCTCGGTATCGACGGGAGTACAGTAACTGAAAGAGGCCCTAAGCAGGAGCCGAACTCAAGCTCGCTTTGCTTACACATGTGCGAAAGCGGACGCCGAGGTGTTTATAACGTGCGATAAATGTGCGTTATTAATACTCCGCTAGTGGAGCAAGACTATGTTTGGCAGGAGGCTTTGGCAAAAGGGAAAGGGGTGGCTTTTAAGCGTTGGGACATAGAGAAGGTACGGTTTTTCACCTGCTATAGACAATGATATCTGGTCGCTGTTAAGAAGAGCGGGGTGGGATAAAAGAAACGAAACTGATTTATAGACTGGAGAGAAGTACGCGCGAGGTAACAAAAGTGCAGACAATTAGCAAGGCAGTTCCGAACGACTCCGGATCATCTACCCACGGGACTTCTGCTACAATAAGTAACGCGGTGATTTGTGACATGCGTACAATAATAGCGCACAAAGATGATCGGATTTGTTAATAATTAGGGCTTTGCTCATGACTTTTGACAAATGTTCGTAATGCTTATGTAATAGTGTAATCACAGTGAGACCAAAAAATGGTCTTCATTGTTTGTCTATGTATGTACATCGTATACTTTTTAATAAAATCATAATAGAATTCGAGTCGTGTGTGCCTTTGCGATTTCGATAATCGTCAACTGCGTAAATACTCGGCAATAAATCCCTTTTATCATGAGTACAATGATTTAATACCTTAACATATCAGATATAATTTAATCTCGTCGGCCCGTATCTGGCATATAATTCCTAACAGTTTTTTCGTAAGCATGTTTTCCTTTTCATGTGTTTTTTTTGTTTATTATCTAAGTAATAACAAAGTGTCAACACTGACATGTGCAATAATCTATTTTAATGTCGGTAACCGATATTATAGAGTGCTTTAGAGTAAGCGATAAAAATGGGACCGAAAATGGTAGTAACAATGAGATCTGTACGACATAGTACGAACTCATACTTTTTCTCGTAGTCGTATCTAGCTAATGCTGCTGTTGTTCTTGTCGTTGCTTTTGTACTGTTCATCCTTGCGGAATTTACAGAGTTCATCCAGGGAGTGAGTCAGTTCAGCGTGAAGGGCGATAAGGAGAGCAAGCTTCGATTCGCTTTCCGAATTTATGACATTGACAACGATGGGTTCATTTCAAACGGGGAACTATTTCAGGTGAGCCACCAGTCCCCCAGTTACTAAATTCCCCCAGTAAACCCGGAATCACACGCCACTTGAAAATACTGTATTCGTTAAGTATCGGCTTTAATCGCATGCTTTACTTATGTCAATTTTTGACAAAATAACGTTTTGCCATAGCCAAGGTATGCATGGAACTTTAACCAACGTTCTTTATGTCACGGATAACAAAACTCTTACACAGGTATTGTTTATATGTACATAGTCATAAACGTACATTAATTATACTAAGCAGACGTTTTCGTTCTATGGTAACCGATTTCCAATGTTAATCTTATTTAATATATAGAGCCTGTTTAATAAACAAGCAGCGCATTGCTAAATACTTTTCAACCTAGTTGGTATATCGCTACGGGGACGAAAACTGCCTCGGGATACATAAAAGTGATAATCACAGTCGTCACCGTTGAATGGTACTCCCAGCTGAAGTTTTGAGATCTGGGAAAAAATTCTAGCGGAGTTGCTTTTACGTCTGGCACCAAGTGTCGCTCGTTCAATTAATTCAGCGTTAAAATTCCGAGACGTAAGAAAAGAGAGACCCATAGGATACTAGTTTGCGCTAGTTACTGCGCAGTAAACAAAGCATAGATGCTTGCATAGGTGTATATAAGGAGAAAAAGGTACTATGGAGTTTAATTAACAAGTTATACAGAACATGTACAGCATTGGTTGACAAAAATATTATATAATTGCTATAAGGATGTTTGAGTTCATTCAAAAGAGCAAATGCGCTTCTTAAACCAAGTTCCGAAATTGAAAGGATAGTCGCGAATAATGCTGAGGTCCGGCAGAAACACATAGATAGAATACATAGGACTACAGGCTTTTTCAAGGAAAACGCAGACCAGCCGTTCGGAATTACTAAGAACTACTTATAGCCTGCGTAAGACAAAAAAAACCGCTTCCAGGTACCAAATGATATATATCCGTCGCAATATTCTACTCATCATAAATGTCAGATGTATCATACGTAGAGAGCGCCCAAATTAACAACGCCGACTAGGTGTACTTGCACATAATACTTCTTCTACATTGCGATCCTATTGCTTGATAATACGGGTTCGATAAGGAGGTGACTGTCAAGCACTAAGCGTTAGCTGATGTTACTAGATTTTGACTAAATGATAATTGCCCTTTGTAAATCGCTTTGTACTTTGCTCCTCAGGTGCTGAAAATGATGGTCGGTAACAATCTAAAGGAGGCGCAGCTGCAGCAAATTGTCGATAAAACAATTCTATTCGCCGACAAGGACAACGATGGAATGATCTCGTTTGAAGAATTCTGCCAGGTTCGATCTAGGTAACAATGTATGCACATGCATTGTGTAATATACAACGTACAGTGCACGCTCGAAACGTTCCAACGAGTGATCGTTAAGTGCGGATCGTTTAATCTGGCGTGAACAATCACTCAAGAGCTCAATCGTATTATACCACATGCACATGCATCTGACTAGGTCAGTTATGATGTTTTGCCTGAGTTACTGTCGGAGGCTGACTCATGACTGGAGAACATATATTGACGTTAGATTCTGTTATTTCTCTCTTTTGGCATTTTATAGGAGTTCCCGCGAATGCACCGTGTTTTATTTTCACATGAGGATTCCCCTATCGTTACTATTTATGTGCAAATTAATTTTAGTGATTTATCCATACGACCGTAAAGTGTAGACGCGGAGAATGTTATATATATATGGAGAAGCATTTTGACCTATCGTGATCAAACTGTTATAAAGCAAGCCTTTAGATACAGGTTATAATAAGTCAAAATAATTTTATGACTGTAAGAGCCACGTAAGTTGAATTTTACTGCGTACGTTTTAATAGTGAGGACTATTCGAGCTGATCCTAACTAACTAGGAGGAGAATTAGTGTAGAAAGGTTCCTTTAACTGCATGTACTGACTATGTAAGTTTGCTATTTAGCGTTTTCTTAGGAAGTTTGTCCTGGGTTCGTCTGGTTGCTTATGTTCCCTTTAATATTTTTGGTCTTCAAAGCTTTCTTTGAAACGTTTCTCCGTCGATTGGTTTAAAATCGCGACTCCAGTCATTCGACTGTACAACGTTCATTTACATACATACATACATACATACGATTTAAATAAGTGCTGAAGGCCAAATGGATGCGGAAAACACTATACATTGGTTCGCCCGTTGAATTCAATATACGAATCGCATTTCAGAAATAGCAGTTCATCTTTAGGCGTTCGCTGACGCAACTGAGTGAACGTTACCTGCATGACATTGAACTGGTATAACGGTAAGAACATTAGCTCGGATCGTCACCACCCACCGCCAAGTGACGAACTGTGATCAGCGCTTTTGACAAGACTGAAAGTGCAAGCTGTTGGTATTACTCCTGCTGGTGCAGTACTGCCAGACCTTGCGTACCCGACAAAAACATTTGTTCCATACCACTCGTTTCTATGAGACAATGGCAACTTTCTTTGTTACCAACATCCGTCCGCGCTTCATCTTTCTTACATTATTTTCAGCGGGCTACGGAGCTTTGCGGTTTTGGGTGTTACTTAGGGCGTCCACTGACGGGACAGAAAGAATCGTCCGTATCGGTAGCCGCACTTGACGGCAGAACACATATAGACGTGAAGGAATTTGGGCATTCTAGCGGTAGCACTCAGGTGTCCTGCCTCCGCCGTTACTCCTTTCCATTCGTGACTGCCGGCTACGATAGCAGAATATATTATTACTCCCTTTCTCGTCGTCGCAACGCCGCGCGTAGATGACTACCGCCGACCAACCATCGTGGCGTAAACGATGAAATTAGTGCAGTAGCAGCAGTCATTAAGATTCTCCTGTTAACCTGGGGCTCCGTGCTATCTCACAAGGCGACGATATGGACTCGTTCGAAGTGCCAATGTTTTCTGCATGCCTTACACGCCAATGCTGGTGGTGACGGAGATACGGTTTTTTCTCACACTATTTTGGCGAATTCAAACAGCTTGTTCTTTTTTGCTAGGCTTCTTCGCTCGGTTGCTCACTTTGCTCCAATCTGTTTTCGTGTAAAAGCTGCCTGTTGCGCGTTACCCTAAGTCGAAACAGTGCTTATATGTGCATGCTGGGGTGGGTAGTTTATATGCAGATGTAGTACGAACGACGAGCGAACATATGCAGCTATCCATGTTCGTTTTCGCGAATACTCAGACTTACTAATGCCTAGAAAAGGGCGATACTGGTCATCCACGAGCGGTCGTACACCGCCACCGTTGTTGGCCCTTCTTTATTATTTACCAAGCGGACAAATGCGATGCTCAGTTTTTCCTTTTTCACCGGGTTGCTCTCCCATGTCGCTTCTTCGCATCGTGGCTCGGTTTGGTCGATATACGTCGCTTGCCCTCAGTATTGCAATGGTAACAGGATGTTACGAGCCCCTAACAAATACACGTTGGACAGCGAGCTGTGGAAAAGCATTGGTTGGTAATCGTCAGGTGTAAGCTACAAGCGAAGAGGTGAAGGAGAAGTCGGGAGGCAATATGCGGAAGAGGCGTGCGAGTCGTTTGCGATCGCAGCGCCGACAAGGTGTTAAGAGACGGCACACACCTAAAATGCATTTCCCAGCTCTCTATGGCACTTCGTTTTATCCTTAGCCGAGTAATAACCTTGCGGCGGTGACGCACTGAGAAAATTGTGGCTATAGTTGCAGGAACGCCGGTAACAGTCGTTGCAGTTCTCATTGGGTTGGGAAGCACAGGATTAAATGCAGTTGTTTGAGCATCGCTGTTTATTGTGACTAATAAGTTTAGGTGGGAGAACGCAAGTGTGTCTAACGGCATACAACTAACCTAACTCTGGTCTAATTCTTTCTGAAGAAAAGAGTGGAGCAGCCTCTTTCCAGATAAATGGGGCAGCTTCTCATATCGAAAGTCTTAAGCCTATGCTCCTTGACCAAGGCTTCTTATTCACTTATGTTCTGCAGTCCGGCTGCCGGTTTTGAATAGGGAAATGCACTCGAGGGCGATTGCCTCGATACTGGCCAGTTTAAGCACAGCTATTTATGACTCTGGCCTCAAAAAGGTAATCGGCCAGCATTTTTTCTTTCTATCTCCCGCTCTCTTTTGTACGCACTTCAGAACGCAAGGAAGTGTGCATCTCATGAACCTTTTTTATTAAGTCACAAGGAAGGAAGGTCCAGTTTTCTCTTGTCTGGCTTTTATTGAATGCCAATAATGTTCATTAGGACGTAGGGCCTGAACGGCTCCCAAGAACCTTGCTTTGTGCAAGCCCATGAGTCAAGGAGGGAAACCAGACCAAACACAGCTAATTCTGGTTAAAACAGGCTACCAGAGGTCGTAAATCTTCTACAAATTCTGCCTTTTCTCCTACCTTCCTCATTTGGGTGCAGCGAGTAGCCCTCTCTGCTGTCATCGAAGCGGTAAGCTTAGGTTAACGCCGACCTTCGGACTGCTGGCTCGTCAATCTGATTGTTGTTGTACTTGCCTTCTCTCTCAATGTTTGCATTGCTTTGTGTAACCCCTTAGCCTTCGCCGTGCTTTGATGCCTCCATTCTATTTGCACCCGTGTTTGCGCTATTTGCTTCAGGGTCTACAACTTCGCTGCACCTTCCAAGCAAGCGGCAGACGGAAAAGTTACGGGAGCTTGACTCCTACAGAAGGAGTTAGAAAGAAACCCTTTTCGTTGTAAGATTGATGGGCCGTCTGGTATGCCGTCACCGATCCTATCAATCTTCCATCCGTTTGTATTCATTGCTGAGCAGTAGGTTGGCCGAACGTATGCTGTCCATGGTGCACTGTCTGTCCTGCCGTGGTTGCGGCAACGACTGTCGCAGATGTTAAAACTGATGTTAGTTGAAGCTTCCAGTCGATCAAGACCGGCGGACGTGCAAATGGAAATGTTCAGATAGAAATGTTTCCTCGGGTGTGTCGACACGGTTTGCCATGACCCGCAGTGGCCTGTATGCAACCAGCTACTTTTAGGGTCGTTGATGGCTAGTAGGAAATAGGTAGCGTCGAAAACAGAATATGTTGTTGAAGTACGAGGTGGCTAAATAGCGCAAGCAAGATTACAGTTAGACGTTAAGCCAATGTTGATATCGGATCATCTGATGAGAAATGTAAAGTGTTGAGCAGATGGGTCCTTTCTATCGTATGAACAGATTTATAGTTCAAACAAATGCAGTAGACGAAGAAATGGGTAAACGAAAAAGCACTTATAAGCTAACTCACATACTTGTTAATGGGCGTGTGCTACATATTATTAGCCTATCACATGCGAATCCGGCAGACTACGTAATTCTTGAACTACACGTCAGTAGCAGAGGAAACTTGACCGGTATATACTCCAGTTTACTAGGGACCTATGAGCGGAAACCGGTTGAGTTCACTTTAGCAGAAACTAGTTTAGCACAAAAATGCCTTGATTTCGATAATCAGTGCCTACAAATCAAGTTTTTATCTTTTTCGAAAACTACAGCGCTGTGGAAATTTATCGAGAATTGAGGAAGACATTAAGCGGAGAAGATTTAAGCAAAAAAATAAGTGAGTGGTGCAAGCGTTTCAAAAACAGACGTTGAAGATCAGCAAGAAAGTTACCCGAAAGACAATCGAGGTGGCATTTCAAGCGTAAGGTGATACATATGTATAGCCCAAATACTGCCACTACATGAACTGAGTAAAAGACTGGTGCCATGTGCATCGATTCCAGATCAGTTGGAAATGCCTGTAGGGTATTCCATGTACAATTTGCGAGATTTTTGCTAGCAAAAACTTCACATAGAGCATACGGTCACCGTAAGTTAGGCGCGGTTCAATCTTTACTGTCAATCACAAAGGGAACCAGATGAGAGGATCGCGTCGTCCTGAACAGAAATGTAATTCGATGGCAATATCGAGTAAGTTCGGACGTCAGACGATAATAGTACTTGCAGGGTACACGAAGGGCATTGCAAGCGGAGCAATGAGCGTAGCCGGTATCTCGAGTCTTTCAAAAGATGCATAGACCGTAGGTACAGCAATCGAATACTCACAGCCTGATTATTTGATAGCAGCGCGAAACCTTATCGCCATGTTTCAATTACTTTCCGGATTGAGCAAGGCTATATCCGAGATTGGTTTCGACCCGCTTATTCACTCGATTCAAGCCCGTCTGAATACTAGACTTCCCATGCCGTGGAACGGGCTACAAGTGGCCATGCAAATCCCATTACAGAATTACTTGGAGAAGTCACAGATAGAAAAATTACACAAGAGAACCGGAATGGTACATGTACTGCTGTGTTGGAGTTGCTAAAACGGTGAGACAGTTGTCTAAAATCT